GATTATACTGTATGATCATTTTTTATTTATTCTATCTAAAATCATTACTAAGCGCCGATATTGTAAAGTAAAGTCCCAAATATTTTTGAAAACTTGCCATTAAACAACTTAATTTTAAAAATTGGGGCCCTTAAATATATTAAAAAATTGGGGGGGGTCTAAAGCACTTGCCTACTTTGATACACACTAAGCACGGCCGTGATTCTACATAACCAGTTAAACGTTATATGAAAAATGGACCACTTCTACTTTAATGCTATTAGTTACAAAATTATCAATTACTATTAAAGTAATACAAATTAGTGGAATATGAGCCATTGATTCTATTTTGCTTTGGGATCACGTGCTACGTTTGATTTTTGGGTCGTTTCTAAGCACTAACCACTGCAGTGCCAAGGTTTCTAAAGGTTCAAGGAGAGTAAAAAAATGAGAACTTTTTTTTACGGTAGTTATAACCATATTAAAAAAGAAAAGTTAAATAAACTCTCATAAAAAAGTTATTAAACTAATTTTCAAATATTAGTCAATTTTTTTTCTATTAGTATGACTAATATTTGAAAATTTAGGGCCCCAAAATTTATATATTATTTGGAGACGAGTGTCTTTTTTTTCTAACACTGTAGGAAAGATCTTGGGTCTAACCAATAATTCTAAACTTGTTAAAGAGTGTCAAAGGTAATAAACCAGATATACCAAAAATAATTTGTCACATTTGAATCCAATTGGATGTGACGTATGAACAAGACTACATATGAAAGTGATAGTATACCTATGGGTTTGGTTGGTAATAAATAGAAGAATTGAGAGAAATGGAGAGACATATAATTGAGAGGAAAAGAAAAATAAAATTTAGAGTAATTGAGAAGAATATGAAAAAAAGAAAAAGTTAACTTGAATGGTAATTATTAGAATATTTGAGAGTAATTGGGAATAAGTGAATAAAATAGAGTATTATTTTAAATTTTATTTAAAAAGTAAGTTATTAAAAAGGTTATAATGAGTAACAAATACATTTATTAATTGCTAAATAATTTAATACGTTATTTATTGTCTTGGAATGTGTAATTAGTGGTAGCAGATTTTTCCTATTTGTTTTGAGTAGTAGAAAATTTTTGCACTTTTCTCCCAAAAAAAGAGAA